TTTTTTTTTTTTTTTTTTTTTTTTTTTTTTTTTTTTTTTTTTTTTTTGCTGTACGCGGGCTTCTCACTGTTGTGGCCTCTCCCGTTGAGGAGCACAGGCTCCGGACGTGCAGGCTCAGCGGCCATGGCTCACAGCTGCTCCGCGGCATGTGGGATCTTCCCGGACCGGGGCACGAACCTGTGTCCCCTGCATCGGCAGGCAGACTCTCAACCACTGCGCCACCAGGGAAGCCCCTTTGCCCATTTTTAAATCAGGTTTTTGTTGAGTTTTCAGAGTTCTCTGTATATTCTGGATATTAATCCCTTATCACATATGTAATTTGCAAATATTATTTCCCATTCTGTGGGTTGCCTTTTTACTCTGTTGATAACGTCTTTTGATGCATAAAATTTGAAATGTCATGAAGCTTTGCCCTATGTTTTTTCTAAGAATTTGATAGTTTTATAGGTCGTAGATTTAGGTCTTTGATCCACGCTGAGCTAATTTTTGTATTTGATGTTAGGTTAAGAGTCTGATAACTTCATTCTTTTGCATGTGGATATCATTTCCCCAGCACCATCTGTTTTTTAATTTTTTAATTTTATTTATTATTTTTGGCTGTGTTGGGTCTTTGTTGCTGTGTGTGGGCTTTCTCTAGTTGTGGCGAGCAGTGGCTACTGTTTGTTGCAGTGCGCAGGCTTCTCACTGCAGTGGCTTCTTTTGTCGCGGAGCACGGGCTCTAGGCGCGTGGGCTTCAGTAGTTGTGGCTCACAGGCTCTAGAGCGCAGGCTCAGTAGTTGTGGTTCACCGACTTAGTTGCTCCGCGGCATGTGGGATCTTCCCGGACCAGGGCTCAAACCCGTGTCCCCTGCATTGGCAGGCAGATTCTTAAGCACTGCACCACCAGGGAATCCCCCGCCCCGCCCAGCACCATTTGTTGAATATTATTATGTTGAAATGAGTTGTTCAGCAGTTATTTTTTGGTTTTTGTTTTTTTTGCGGTACGCGGGCCTCTCACTGTTGTGGCCTCCCACACCGCGGAGCACAGGCTCCGGACGCACAAGCCCAGCGGCCACGGCTCACGGGCCCAGCCGCTCCGCGGCATGTGGGATCTTCCTGGACCGGGGCACGAACCCGTGTCCCCTGCATCGGCAGGCGGACTCTCAGCCACTGCACCACCAGGGAAGCCCCAGCACTTATTTTTAATTTATTTTTCTTTAAAAAAAATTTTTTTTGATTATTTTATTTATTTATTTTTGGCTACATTGGGTCTTCATTGCTGCGCACGGGCTTTCTCTAGTTGTGGCGAGCAGGCGCTACTCTTTGTTGTGGTGCGCGGGCTTCTCACTGCGGTGGCTTCTCTTGTTACGGAGCACGAGCTCTAGGCACACAGGCTTCAGTAGTTGTGACACGTGGGCTCAGTAGTTGTGGCTTGTGGGCTCTAGAGCACAGGCCCAGTAGTTGTGGCTCACGGGCTTAGTTGCTCTGTGTCATGTGGGATCTTCCCAGACCAGTGTCGAACCCATGTCCCCTGCATTGGCAGGTGGATTCTTAACCACTGCGCCACCAGGGAAGTCCAGCATAATCTTTAAGAATATAAAGGGGACCAAAAAGTTCTAGAACCGTTGACAAAGAATCTTTGAACACTTTCCCCAGATTTTGACTATAGTCCCTTTCTTCAGTGGTGCTTCTTATTGGATCTGTGTTCTGAGGGACATATAGTAGGAACACAGCCTCATTGACATGGGGTAAGACCATTTGTTGTTCTGGACCTCAGGTGCAAAGCTGGGTTAATTATGTTCCCTAATTCATGGCAAAGCCTCTGTCTTCACTTACGTTTCCTTCCGTCCCCTGTCATCACCCCATCCCCCCTTCTCGATATCCATAGTTCCTAGTTCTGGTTAGCCGTAGTTCACTTTTTTCTTTTAATTAATTTTTATTGGAGTATGGTTGCTTTACAATGTTGTGTTAGCCTCCACTGCACAACAAAATGAATCAGCCATACACATACAAATATCCCCTCCCTTTTGGACTTCCCTTCCATTTAGGTTACCACAGTGCACGTAGTTCATTTTTAAGCAAGAAAAGACAGACTGGCTAGGTGAGGATGTCGGTGCAGGGTTAGTACAACTTAATTTTTTTTCTTTTTTTTAAGATAAGTGCATATAATTAGAAGCTGTAGCTCTTTCTTCCTATGTCTTAGTGGCTTATTTTTAGACTGCCTCACCCCTTTTTGAACAAAGACTACTAGGGGACCCATTTGTTGCCTCTGTACATACTCATTTGGTTAGCTTGTTGATTGATCTGAAGCTAGGGCCTTTTCCTTCTCTAAGAGTGCCTTTTCCTTCTCGAAGAGCTAGTGCCTCTTCCTCTTCTCTAAAGAGCTTTTTTATTGAAATAAGATGTTTTTAAAGTTTTCAGATTCAACACCAACTTATTTGTTCGTATATTTACTCAATTAAGCAGCTCCCACTTTGTGCTGGACACTCTAGAAAGCATTTTGGGCTGTATAAACCTATAAAAGCTATAGTTCCTGCCCTTGTATCCCAGAGTCAGATAAAATTAAAGTGTCAGAAAATAATGAATAGATTTGCTACATTGCCATATTTTTAGAATTGTTTTCATTGTATAATCTCTCTCCCCTTTTGGGAGGGGTTAGGAGGTGGTTTCTGGGAGACTTATTTTCCCTGTGTCTATAGGTAACTTAAATGTAAAATGTTATAAAATACCCTTATTTGCATGAAGCCCCTCTTGTCAATTATAAAATATTTATAAAGTGTAAAATATAATTGTAACTGGTTGAGTTTTAGGTTTCTGAGGTTTGTTTACTTGCTTGCTATTTAACAATGCTACATGTCTGGGCATTTACAAAACTATTACTAATTAGTCTATAATGACCAAATTCTTAAAATCCATAAATATTAATTTTTTTCTAGGTCGCAATAAAAATAATTGACAAAACTCAGTTGAATCCAACAAGTCTACAAAAGGTAAGATTGGTCCAGTATCCAGGTTTTTTTTAATGATTTTCAGTGCTAATTGTCATCTAATTTGTCCATTAATTACCTCTACTATTATTTTTATTTATTGTATTTAGTACACAGTAAAGCTTCCTCTTCCTCAAATGAATGCAACTTAAATTTAATATGGTTTAAATGTAGTATTGTTGTATTTTTTTCCTTCAGTTGAAGATAATGATTTTTAAATGTTCTTAATAGCACAAACTGAAGGCTGTACTTTGAATATTCTAAATATTGACTAGAGTAGAGTTATAAAAAAGACAGAACAACATAGTTTCATGTAATTAGTCTTAAGCAGAGTTACACATCTTTCTTACAGCTAATGCTGAGATCTCTAAAGTCAGCACCTTGGCTTTCTTAAGCTACCACAATATGTCTAATCAAGGAGTGATGATTCATTGATACAAAAGGAAAATATAAAAGTGAAACTAAATTGATAGTTGAAAACATGTTTGTTAATGAGCTATTGCCATTTGTATTATCTAATGTAGATCAGGAGTTCTCAACCTGGTGCATGTTAAAATCACCTGGGCCTCTTTTCAAAATCCTGATGACTGGCCCATAGGGAGATTTAATTGCTCAGGTAGGGCCTGGTCATAGGTATTTCACTGGTGCATCAGTGAATGATTAATGATCTTCATAATAAGATCCTTTTAGTTCCTTTTGGTTTTGCAGAGCCTTTTTACATACTTCATTTGATTTCTAGACTTGGCCTATGGTAGCTGGGGGATACAGAGACCTAGAAATAAGAACAGGAAGTCAGGCTTCCCTGGTGGCGCAGTGGTTGGGAGTCCGCCTGCCGATGCAGGGGACGTGGGTTTGTGCCCTGGTCCAGGAGGATCCCACATGCCGCAGAGCGGCTGCGCCCGTGGGCCATGGCCGCTGGGCCTGCGCGTCCAGAGCCTGTGCTCCACAGCGGGAGAGGCCACAGCAGTGAGAGGCCCGCGTACCGCAAAAAAAAAAAAAAAAGAACAGGAAGTCCTCTGCCACTTAGCTGAATGTGTAACTTGACCTTGAGCAAGTCACTTAACTTTCTGGACGTTGGGCTTCTCATCTTTTAAAATGAAGATAATTTCACTAAGTGAAATAAGTCAGACAGAAAGACAGGTACCATATGATCTCATTTATATGTGGAATCTAAAAAATAAAACAAATAGACAAACAAAATAAAACAGAAACAGGCTTACAGAGAGCGAAACTGTTGGTTGCTAGAGGGGAGCTGAGTGAAATAGGTAAAGGGGATTAACAGATATAAACTTCTAGTTATAAAGTAAACAAGTCATGGGGATATAATATACAGCATAAGGAATGTAGTCAGTAATGCTGTAATAATTTTGTATGGTGACAGATGGTTATTGGAGTTATCATGGTGATGATTTCATAATGTATTTGATTGTCACATCACTGTGTTGTACACCTGAAACTAACATAATATTGTATGTCAACTATACTTCAGTTGAAAATAATAATAAAAATAACTAATTAAATGGAGATTTAATCTTCTCATGATGGATTATATTAATGAAATAATACATATCAAAGAGTTTCATAAACTGCAAAGCAGTACGTAAGACATTTTAAGGGTAATCATGCCCTATCTACATTTCTAATGTAGTTCTAGTTCTGTTGGTTATTTTCTATTTATATCATCATAATTTTGAAACTGTCTGTGTGTGTGTGGGATTAAGGTGGAGAGGGAGACAGATTTTATCTTGCACTGAAAATGTTATTTAAACAAGTGGCTCTGCAGGGCATAGTGGGCCTTAAGGGTTCTCAGGGTGGCCCTGGAAGGATCCAAAATTTCCAGTCCTTTGTTCTGAACATGAAATTGTATCCATTTCCTTAAATTCATTTCTTCATATATCTAAGGACTTGGTAGTAATTAATAAGTTAGAGGTTACTAAAACTTGGTATTCAGAACTAAAATTAGCATGTAGAGAAGTTTGCTAAGGATTCTAATTCAGTATTCGAATGTTACAGATCTTCCACTATTCATGTGTACTTGCAGATAACTGGAATTCTAGCAGTTTTCTAGGAAGAATTTTATCATAGTATTGTCTTGAGTTGGTTGTGATTTTTCTTGCTTGCTTTTTTTCATTATTTTTGGTCATAGTTTTTAATTACCACTGTTCTTTTTTGTTATTATTCCAAATTACTGTTTGTCACATCATTACCAATTTAGTACCTGGTAGGCTGTCTGTTTAGCTTGATGGTGTGATGCAGATTTTTATCAGCATTAATTTTGGCATATAAATAATAAGACTTTTAAGATTTGTTTGGTATAGCTCAAGTATGAACCATCCACAAAAAATTTATACTAAAGGCAGATCCGTCCAAGTTAAATAATTTGATAAGTGTAATGTTTTCAGTTTGTAGGGCATTGTTTTAAATCATAAATCATGTGCTTGTGTTCTTATAAATTAGAAGCATTCTATAAATACTTCCTTCACATTCTTTTTCGCTGAGTTCCCTTTCCATGGAAAGGTGGCAGCAGAGTGGTGTATACCTGGCATCTTTTGCCCTTGTAATAGTGGTGCTTGCAGCTTGTTTTCTTCCTCAGCACCACTCACAGTTGTATCACACCTGCTCACTCAAATCTCTGTATATTGTGATTTTAAACTCTGGAACTTGGTGTATGGCCTTAGGAGCTAACAACATTCTGCCATCAACAATATGCGATCTTTTTGTACTGCCACTACCAAAAAAAATGTGGACTGGCTCATTCAGGCAGTGTTTGAACACAGGTGTTTAAAATAGTGTCATTTCAAAATGTTCACAGTATTCTGGCTTACACATTGAATCATGTACATCTGATAAACGCATTTAAGCAAACCTGAGTTGACTGCATATTAGTAAACTGATGTTATTTTCACTGACAGGTTCTTCACTTTTCCTTTTAATTTTTCCAGCCACTGAGTGAATAAATGTTAGATTCTAGTAAGATATATTTTTCTCCATTGTTTTTGTACATCTCAATTTCTGAGTACTATCCCTGAGACATTTTCTGTCCATAGATGTCTTTTAGGTCAGCCGTTAAAGAACTCTGTAATGTTGTGTACCTTTAATGATTTTGAAAACAACAGGAGTGAAAAAAAATGTTAGTCTTCCTCCTGGTTTTACAAAGTCACTTTCAGCTTTTTTTTTTTTTTTTTTTTTGGGGGGGGGTGGGGGGTACACGGACCTCTCACTGTTGTGGTGTCTCCCGTTGCGGAGCACAGGCTCCAGACGCTCAGGCTCAGCGGCCATGGCTCACGGGCCCAACCGCTCCGTGGCATGTGGGATCTTCCCGGACCGGGGCACGAACGCTTGTCCCGTGCATCGGCAGGCGGACTCTAAACCACTGCGCCACCAGGGAAGCCCCATTTTTAGCTTTGATTTGGTTACAGATAATCTTGTTTTATTAAATTCAAGTTTGTCATTAAGAAGCAAGTTATGAATTTATTAAGACATGCAAGTAGGGCTTCCCTGGTTGCCCAGTGGTTAAGAACCTGCCTGCCAGTGCAGGGGACATGGGTTTGATCCCTGGTCCGGGAAGATCCCACGTGCCGCGGAGCAACTAAGCCCGTGTGGCACAACTACTGAGCCTGCGCTCTAGAGCCTGCGAGTCACAACTGCTGAAGCCAGCGAGCCACAACTACTGAAGCCCGCGTGCCTAGAGCCTGTGCTCTGCAACAAGAGAAGCCACCGCAGTGAGAAGCCCACGTGAAGCAACGAAGACCCAACGCAGCCAAAAATAAATAAATTTATAAAAGAAAAAAAAAAGACATGCAAGTACACTAAGTGTAACCCATCTAAAGTTATTTTCTTTTCTCATCTTGGAGTAGTGTGTTAATGTAAAGAGGGATTATAGAGTAATGGTTAGGAACACAGTTAAGCCAGCCTACATGGATTCAAATCTCGACTTCAACCCAGCCTAGCTGTGTGACAAGTCACCTTCCTGGATCTTAGTTTCCCTGTTTGTAAAATGGAAATAATAACAGTACCTCTAGGGCTGTGGTGAGAATTAAATAAGTTAACATTTAAAAGCCCTTAGCACAGGGAGATCAGCTTGGTGCTTTGTGACCACCTAGAAGGGTGGGATAGGGAGGGTGGGAGGGAGATGCAAGAGGGAGAAGATATGGGGATATATGTTTATGTATAGCTGATTCCCTTTGTTATAAAGCAGAAACTAACACACCATTGTAAAGCAATTATACTCCAATAAAGATGTTAAAAAATAATAATATAATAAAAGCCCTTAGAAGAGCTGAGTGTAGTTCCTAGCACATGGTAAGGACCGAGTGTTTGCTATTATTGTGTGTCCTGCTGAATATTGGTTTTGAGGGAGAGTGGGAGATTTTTTTTTTTTAACTTTTATTGGCGTGTAGTTGATTTACAATGTTGTTAGTTTCAGGTGTACAGCAGAGTGAATCAGTTATACATATACATATATCCACTCCTTTTTTTTTAAGATTCTTTTCCCAGGAGATATTTTTTGTTTGTTTTTTAAATTTTACCCTCACAGGAAATAAGTAAAGCTTAAGGATTGAATGGTAGGTTCTGGCTTAGGTCTCATAGGACTTATTTGCAGTAGACTACTTCTGATCACGGCTAATATTTGCGCATTTAGTATATATGGAGTACTGTATTAGTTTGCTCGAGCCACTATAACAAAATTCTGTAGACTGGTGTCTTAAACAACAGACATTTATTTCACACAGTTGTAGAGGCTGGGAAGTCCAAAATCAGGGTTGCCAGCATGGTCAGGTTCTGGTGCAAGCTCTCTCTTTGGCTTACAGAGGGCTGCCGTCTCACTGTGTCTTCATAGCAAAGTAGGGGGAAGGTATATGAGCATGCTGTTTGATGTCTCTACTTATAAGGGTACTTAATCCCATCATAAGGACCCACCCTCATGACCTCATCTAAACCAACTTAATTCCCAAATGCTCCATCTCCAAATATCACATTGTGGGACAGCTTCATGAAGTAAG